GTCATCAGATCTTTAGTATCTTGACAAAGTTTCTCGTCTTGTTTACTAGTCAGTCTGTAACTCGAAATCGAAGAATGTTTAGGTATGGATCGAGTGGACTCACTTCGTAAAGAAAACTCCAATCACTCACGACATAGATTTGACAGAAAGGAAAAATTCTAACTCACCTAATGGATTTCAGTTTTCCTGCTCACAACTTTGTTTGTATAATCCAACTCATCATAAAATGTTTGATGGAATAATTAAATTGTTTCACTACAATTCGACTGAAACCTCGCCTACTTAACTATCTTGCTAGTTTTCTAGCCGGACCGAAAGACCGTGTAAAGGGAGAGAGTGGGGGATGTGATGCTAGCAAACCTACACCACAAAACCTATGAAACGGCTCGAGAAACGTCAACGCACACAAAACATATTCAAAATACAAAAAATTCAAATAACAACAATCTTATTCTTCTCTCGAATCGGAGAGGCGAAATGACACAACAGGCTGGTGAAAATCAGCCTTCGGGAAAGCAGTCAGCCAGCCAGAACCACAGATGTGTCTTCTCTCCATGAAAGCAAGAATAAGAATCGGTACGTGGAATGTCCATACAATATACGAGACTGGCTGGTAAGGCTGCACAGGTAGTCAACGAAATGCGAAGATATGGCAAAGAAGTGCTGGGTATCTGCGAGAGCAGATGGAATGCACGTGTACAGTCGAAATTGTCAACTGGACAGTCGGTAATCTACTCCGGTCTGGTCACCCAGACGACAACCACGAACACACTGAGGCAGTGAGTGGCTATCATGATGTCACCAGTGGCATCCAGAGCCCTAATGCAATGGGAACCAATTTCATCCCGCAGGATCATGACAGCAAGATTCAACTCAAAAGACAGAAAGAAGGGTAACAATTATCCAGTTCTACGCACAATGCAACAGACAACGCGGAACAAGACGAGAAGGAGGATTCTTACAGACAACTACAAGCAGTAGTGGACAACATCCCAAATGGTGACATCGAAATCCTTATGGGCGATGTGAATGCCAGCTAACTGGGAGCAGATAACATAGGAAGAGAACTCATCATGGGTGGAGAGACTGTGGCTCGGAGAAATCAATGAGAACGGAGAATTATTCGCAGACTTGTGTGCTTTCAATGATTATGCGGTCAGAGGGATATACACAAGGCACCGTGGATTTCGCCTGATGGACACACCACAAACCAGACAGATTTCATCTCAATGCTGCTCAAGGAAGTGAAGACGCAGCTAGTCTGCTGGATACAAAGTCGAGAAGAGAATTAAATGTGGGCACAGATCATCATCTGGTTCAAGGAACCTTCAAGGTGAAGTTGAAATCGTTCAGAAAACCTAGAGACAGACTATTATTCAAATTCAACACCATGAAACTGAAGGACAAAACTACAAGGAATGCATTCGCTACACATCAGATTAGAGCAAAGTCGGAGACGCTTCGTGTTATCAACGAGGAAGCGTGTCTGGAAGAACACTGGAACTCTCTGAAGGAGATGGATATTCAAGCAAACATGTGCAACTGTTCTAGGAAGAAAGAAAATACAAGACAAGCAGTGGCTCTCAACGGATACCTAGAAGCTAATCGAGGAGAGGATGATGGTGAAAGAGAAGATGACTCAATGCAAAGATGAGCAACAGAAGGAGTAACTCATGTCAGTGTGCATTGCACTGAATAAAGAAGTGAAGAAGAGAGCCATGAAAGACAGAACGCAATCCTACGACACACTGGCCGGTAACTGAAGCAGAACAAGTAGGCCGCAGGTGAAAGAGACTTCAGGACACGGTATCGGATAACCAGGCTGCTCGCTATCCGGAAAATATCAACCAAGATGATGAAACCCTGATCACTTTACAGGACTCTTGAATTGACCATCACCTGCAACTCTCCCAGAAATACCACCAATAGCACGCACAGTATTTTCTGCAAGTGGATATCGATCCTCCAACGAAAGCAGAAATCCTGAATGTGGTAGAGCTGCTGAAGTCCAGTGGAGAAGGCAGCTGGATCAGACAGAATTCCCTCGAAGGACACAGAGACTGCCACAGATGTCGTCACGCCATTACTGCAAAAGGTTTGGAAAGAAGGAAAGGTACCCACCGACTGAATGAAAGGCTCGCTACCTTGTCAAGCTGGCATTGAAGGACAGCTTACGCCTTACTCTGCAAGAACTGGCGTGGAGTAATGCTCTTGTCCATGTCAACTAAAATAAATAGGTCACATCATCCTGAAGAGTATAGAGGGTGCACTGAATACAGAAATCCGCCTACCCCATAGAAACAAGCTAGCTGGATTCAGGAAAGGCAAATCATGTGCTCATCAAATTGCAACTCCACGCATCGTCATCACAGAACAGAGCCTAGAATAGAATGGTAGTCAAGCACCACTCCACCTCAACTTCATCGACTTCGAAAACGCCTCCGACAGACAGCGCAGACCGAGAAGTAATTTAGAAACAACACCAACACCACGTCGTACTGTGTCCTAGTCTTTGTCAACCTCATCCAACAGCTGGCTATATGACAGTGGCACGTGTCAGGTGATCCACAACGAGAAATTCAGCGAGGCACTCGAAGTGAATACAAGAGTAGAACAAGCTGGCTGTCTACTATCACCGATGATACTCCTCATTGTAGTGGACTGGATTATCTGTCAGAATGTGCATTGTGAGTGACAAGGCAATAATACTCTGGACCACCAATTAGAAGACTCTAGAAGATCTGGATTTCGCGCCTGGATGATACATGTCTAATGTCACACAAACTCGAAGACTTGCAAGTGAAAACCAACAAGCTGGGTGAAGAGGCCAGCAGCGAAGACAGCACTCCAGGTTAACAGAGAGATGATGTAGTTGATGAATATAACCAACGAACCACAACAACGACAACAACCAGCACCATACATCATCAACACGAGAGATTGAACGGATGTTACCTCCTTCACTTATCTGGCTGCCAAGTATCTTTTCCTCATACAAGCAGTCGGAACTGATGATGATATCAAAGCCAGTCAGAATCGGAAAGGTAAGATACGCCTTCATCAACCTGAAACCAGCTTGGTAATTCTCTACACTCAGAACAAGGAACATCACTCGGATTTTCAGCACCAATGCGAAGTCGGTCAGGTTTTCTACACGCGTGAGGAACTTTCACTGCGTGTCACGAAAAGGATTCTCAACAGGTTACAGCAGACTTTCATCAACAGCTGCCACCTTCACTGGCTGGCTCCATATTGAAGATCAAATGGCCAGAAAGAAAGTATTCGTAACAATAAACTCTGGCTGACAACAAACCAACGGAGCGAGAGCCGATTACTCAATAAATATGTAAGAGGAAATGGAGATGGATCGGGTACACGTTGAGGCTACCGTCGAATGACATCGCGCGCAATTCAGGAGATTGACATGGAAGAAATCGTGTGAGAAAGAGATGACAGAGTTTGATGAATCGTGAACTCAGCTGAAGAGGATGGCGGAAAATAGAGCAAAGTGGAGGTGTGTTCCTGAAGCCCCATGTCTAATTCGGAATCCAAGGGAACAATAATTAATAATAGTAAATAATTCAACTGGACACTTTCATCATTCCACAACACTTACAACGACCACATTCTTGTCATATATATATAACCTTTATACCACTTTGTATATGCTTCTTTGTCTATAGCCTTTTGTGTATTGTAATAAGGACCAGTTAAAGAAGAAACTCATTCGCATAATGGTATTTATTTGGAAACCTAAAGTGATGCATCAAAAATATACTCATAATTTCATCATTCGATTATTTCATTAGACTTAACACAGAAAAAGTTCTTTTCTGTCGTAGACATGCAACCTACAGCATTTTACAAAACCAACTGGATGATACGTGTTAAAAGTAAATATCCGAGGTGTATCAGGTCAACACTCAACTGATTAATCTTCAACACCACCCACGCAGTTGTCACTCATAAGTCTTTCTTCAAGATAAAGACTTAGACATCAATCAGCAGATCTTTTTTTACAACTTCGTGCTTAATAATGTGTTAAACACTGTGTAATTGTCCTTCCAACAAAAAAGAGACTTGATTCAAAGACATTATACAGTTGACAGTCATTTATTTCTACTGAATGACTAATATTGTCTGCTTGTATTACAACGAATTGATCATGTACTAGTGATCCAATTGACTCGAAGCAGTCACACTAATTTTACAGAAGTCGAATGACCCCATTAAATGAAGATAAACACGTGATAATAAACTGTGATTGTGTAACAGGTAAAAACTTTATAAATACTGCAGTGATATTTAGCTAATCAAGTCATCTGTTATTAGAGAAATTGGTAGGTTTACATATTACAATTATTATAGATCATTTTTATTACAACCATCATTAAACAGCTTTGTATTTCATACATTTATTACGCCCTATGAATTTAAATAAAATAAGGACAACAGTTTGCGGAATAAAATGGTACTATCATTTATTTCGTCCGCTTCTCATCACCTGAATACAACTCAAAGACATCAAAAAGTATACCTATAGAAACAATCTTGACATCCTTGCAGAGTTCATTTCCAAACAAAAATTACTCAGTCAGTATATGTATGCAATGTTAGTAAATATATTAAACACTTTATCTAGAACAATAATGGTCATACACAATGGAAAATTTTGACATACTGTAATCAGATGAAAGAGAGAATGAAAACATCCAGTTACCAGTGCAAGTAGGGACTGACAACTGCTTCCTTCTCAACGCATTGGAAGTCATAATCACGCAATAGGCAATCAGTTTTCAAAGTCCAGAAATAATTGTCGAGTGCAGTTAGCCTTAGTCATCCTTTTATGTGGAAGTAACTATATTCTAAAGAAATACGGATTAGAAGTATACCAGATATTATCATCGTGTTTTCATTCTGGTCATCGCATTAAACGTGTTTTTCTTCTACATTACAGAATTGTTCTGATCTGGTTGATTACTGCCCCGTGTGTGATAATTATGCGAAGTATCCTCTTGTTTCTACTTATCGGTGCTGATATTTATAATGTTCAGATAAACGGTAAGTCAGCTTGAACTGAGTTATTGTTACACGTACATATGAACTGAAGTCTTACTTTGCTATATAAATATGTATATATATATTTACAAATATATATATATATATATAAACAAACAAAACAAGATAAATGAGGTAGATGGAAGTTTAAGCAGCCCAACATTCAAACAGGCAGCCAGGAATAGTCTCGCTGCCAAATACGTCCCGATCTGACTGTTCCAAACTTAACAGATTCTTATCGGATAACAGCCAATGGTCTAGGCTAAATGGCCTTTCCTTAAATACCTCTAAGTGTCAGACAATTAACTAGACGTTTAGGCATAAATGTAATCTACACCAACTGGATGATTCACAAGATGTTTACAGCAAAGAGGGTACTGATACAGAAACATAGTCAAGCATAAAATACTTTGGAATAGTTTCATCCCCCAAATATCTCTTCGTCCGTCATCCTGTATCGTATCGATTTCTAAGAACATGTCCCGTCTAAGCTTCTACATTAAGAAGTCAAGAAACCGAGAAATCACTCAACCTCTACTCTCACAGCTTGTCAACTCTTGCACCTTGCCCACTGTACTTTACTGCTCCATCTTAGTCTCTCACGGTTTACTCAAAAATGACTATGTCATATTTTGAAGGGTTTGAAAGTTTCTCAGTAGGACAAGTTGTGTGCCACTAAGTCAGCTCGTTTAAATGCACATTGTAGCATTCTCAACACCCTCTCTGCTGTAAACTCTCTCTATGATGAATCCGATCGTGTAGGACTAGAAGTCACTAGAAAAGAATATCTGTGCGTCGGTGGCACAGTGGCTAGGACTCTCGCCGACCATGCACATGGTCCGGGGTTCGAACCCCTGCCGGCGCACACCCGATATCTATGGTATGCCTGAATTTGGGCAACCGATATCCATGCTGAAAGTTCCACACTTGTACTGAAAATACGGTGTGGAAATCAAGCTGTAAATCAAAAAAAAAAATTACAGATAGCTCAGTGATACCTTATATGGCCTGCCCGCATTCTATGTGACAGAGATAGTGTAAGCGTGAAACCTACAACTTACTATGTTATTAGCAAGAAAATCGGCTCGTTTTGACGCTCTCCGATTTGTAATCTAATCGTGACACTATTCTAATTAACACACAATTTTAGCTAATAAGAATAACATCACTGCTTTACACATTTTATGGAATTTTGACTTTATTATCATTGTAAATACCGAAATAGGCTGGTATTGTGAATCCTGTAATTTTGTATTTCGTCTTTGCTTTTGCGCTTGCTTGTCGAGTTAATTCGATGCCACATTGTAGTGAATGCTGAGAATTCCACACTGTATCATGAGTACTGTTTTGGAATAAATCAAAATGTTATTATTATTATTGTTAGTAGTAGTAGTAGTATTACATTTTATTGTTGAAATGCACAAGTGAGAAAATTAAGATCGGTTTTGTGAGTAAACGTTTGAAGTAACATGAAGTAACATAGTCCTTGTAGCCTCTCACTTGGCGTTTACTTCGAAAAGCTCTTAGAATTATGTTGAAAATCGTAGATATCTTCTGATAGATTTTATGGGACTATTTAGCACAGATTAGTTTTGCGTCAAAGCGTCGCTCATAAAAGTGATACTGATTTTGTGTTTAGGATTAATACTCTTAATCTGACAGATATATTACTCTTTCACGAAACTGTATTGTCTCTTGAACTTCTAAAAAGAGGAACACTGAGCAGCTCAGAAGCTGTTAACATGATTTTGTACATTCTTTTCGAAAGAACAACTGTGCAGTTATTCTCGAGAAATTATCTGGGGATAAAATAACCTGACTGACATAAAAGGTGTTCTAGCTTTGTGCGAATTTTTATTAAAATCAATTACTTAATTCCATATTTTGAATGTAATTAGGCGTGTTTCAATATTTTAACTCTGTGCACTAGGTATTCCATTGAACACATATGGACTTCCACAGGTTCTACTTTGGCCTGGACCACGTCCTCCATTCGGACCACCTCCACAATTCGCACCACCTCCACTATTCGGACAACCCCCACAATTCGTACCACCTCCACTATTCGGACAACCCCCACAATTCCTACCACCTCCACCTTTCGGACAACCCCCACAGTTCGCACCACCCCCACCCTTCGGACAACCCCCACAATATGGACCAGCTCCACCCTTCGGACAACCCCCACAATATGGACCAGCCCCACCTTTCGGACAACCTCCACAATACGCACCGCCGCCATCATTTGGTCAACCTACACAATTTGGACCACCACCATCGGATGGGCAACCCCCTCATTCATCATCTCCATATGCATCTGCACCGAACAGTCAATCACCTTCAGATGGACAGTCTCCTCCAGCGGGATCACCAATGTCCGGCAATGACGGATCAAAAGCGCCACCTCCAGGTGAATCTGAACAACCATCAATGGAAAAATAAACAAGAATCTCATTCCAAGTGAAAACATTGATATTTCTGTGATTTCGCTAACACTCGATATGTTTCGCCTATGAAAACAACCAGATTTTTCTGTCTACAAATGAAAAGGTAGCAGAATTAAACCCTTTTCATTCATGTTTATCAGAGATATCAGTACTTTCATAATTTCATAATTTTGTTTACCACATGTTATTTTTATATGACATCAGATTTGTATAAACATGAATCACTCTAATTCTCTTTCACATCACGCCCTTCGCATTTCGACAGTAAACTGTAATCATCTTTGTTGAATTATTTGTTCTGTTATCTTTTGTTTTAAACAATGTGTCAATTTCGCCTTTCAGTTTCATTATTAATAAATGTATATATTATACCTATTTCGAATCCAAAAGCCAGCTGTCGATTATTATTATTATTGTCATTGTTATTATTTTATTATTCCATGAAGATTCCAGTGGAATTTAACGCGTCCACAGCCCACAGAAGTTCTTTCTTGTCAAACCCTTTTTCTCAAAATTTGATCTTTTCTATTAAACCAGGGAAGGCAGCTATTGATAAAAGTTTGCAATAGACTCTTGGAAACAGTTTTGTTGACTCACTAAGCCTCTGAATCATAAATGGGCATAGACTGACTTGGAGCAAATATTGGAAACTAGGAAGATGTTCTTTCGTACGAGCGCATTTCTGATGAAAATCTCAAGCCTATTCATTGTACCTGATGCAGCATGTTTCAACACTGATTTAATAAAATTGAAGGTCTGTCATACATTTTGAATCGTGCATCTGAAATTCTCTTCTATGCTACTTGTGTAACAACAGAAGGCAAGAGTCAGGCAACAGATCATTTATTAAGGAAATCAACACATATTTATATATTTTCATGTACATTACTTTGGATATTTAAGCAAACAAACACAGTCTTCCGATTGGTTGTTTCTCACGTAAAGTTAATCTTTCATCTATTTGTGACTGTTTCTTGAATGTCAAATCCTCTATATGTTAACTGCATCCGCCTACGCAAAGTCAATCTTTGTTCACATTTTCTCATGACAAATCTTGGGAACGTAAATATTGACGTAAATTACTGTCTACCAATTTGGCTAGTAGACAGCTCTCACCACACTCGTCCCCCCGTCAAATAGCTTCGCGCGCAGGCGTTCCGATTTTCTGGGTGATGCGTTCTCTCGTTGATGATTGTTACAGACCGGCTTGTCCCAATGCACCCATCGTTGGATCTGACTGGCGTTAACTCGTTTTTGTTTGTCACCTCTTCTGATGATATATACTTGACCCCGTCTTCTTGTGATTGTGTATGGTCCTTCCCACTTTGGAAGGAGTTTGCGTGAACCTGACCCACATCCGACAGCATATCTTCTGTCTCTACACTTCACTTGGTCCCCAACTGAGAAGGTAATGCACTGAGTCTAATCTCTCAGCTGAGACTTCGCGACATCCCTCCGCTGCTTCTGCATTACATTCTTGACGGCTTCTTTCCGTTCTGCTTTTAATTTCGTCGTACTCCACTTTTGGTGAAGGGGCCAGGTTTCGTTGTGTATCGGTAATCGTGGTTTTCTACCATACATCAGTTGAAAGGGTGACTTTTTCGTTGTTTCCTGGGTGGTGGCACGATGTGTTAGTAGAATCAGTGGCAGCTCCGTTTCCCAGTTACCGCCCTTCGAGGCCAGCCACTCCTTCAGCGTACGGTTGTTTCTCCCCGTCAGGCCATTCGTTTGTGGATGGTATGGGGTCGTTCAGATCCTCTTGATGCCAAGCTGTTGCAAACGGGAAGTAAATTCTTCACTTTCGAAACAGGGACCTTGGTCTGTCAGTATTGTCTTTGGTACGCCATGGTCTGCAACGATGTGTCTAACTACTGCATCTGTCACGGTCCTTGCGCGTTGGTCTGGGATTGCTACGGCGTCTACCCATCGTGTCGCGTGTTCCGTCATCACCAAGAGGTACTGATTACCATTGGATGTCTGAGGAAATGGACCCATAACATCTACGGACCACAAGTCACCTATCGCCGTAACTGGAATCGACTGAAGTGGTGGTCGTATGCACCGGTCGCCTTTCATTAGCTGGCACCGTGGACATCCAAGTACATATCTTGCTACGTCTTCTCTCATACCTGGCCAGTACATACTTTGTCTCAAGAGGTCGGTTGTTCTGGCCACTCCGGTATATGCTAGCTGGTGGCATTCTTCTATTATGTCGTGGCGCAACGATTGAGGTATGACAGCTAGCCAGCTTCCGTCGTCCTCTCGCCAGGTCAGAGTCCCGTGGACATTCACTCTTAGTCGATCTCTCTGTCTGAGTAGTGTAGTTAGCTCCTTACTCGCTATAGCTGGATCCACTTCTATTCCGTTAGTGATCACCTGTATTACTGTATTCAGCGTATCGTCCAACCTTTGTCTGCGTGCCAGTCTCTCTCTTGTTCTACTGCATTCACTCCGTAAGCGACCTCGGACAACTCAGACTCGTCTTCTGGTCTCGATAACAAATCTGCCAAGACATTTTCATTTCCAGGAACGTGTGAGATGGTAAAATCGTACTCCTGAAGACGCAACATCCACCGTGACAATTTCCCTCGTGGGTCTCTCGCTGTCTTCAGAAACTGTAGCGGCTTATGATCCGTTTCGATGTGGAACCGCCGGCCGAGTAAATAAGGTCTCGATTTGTCGATTGCCCATACCATCGCTAAAGATTCTTTCTCTATCGTTGAATACTTTCGCTCTGTGTGTGTCAAAACCCCACTGGCATACTCAACGATTCCCTCACCCTGTCTTAGGACCGCACCTATGGCGTAGTCACTGGCATCTGTGCACACTGTGAACTGTCTTCCAGGTACAGGTGGCTTTAGTGTCATTTGTTGGTGGTCGAGCAGCTGTTTAATCCTGTTGAATGTCTTCTGCGATTCCTCCGACCAAACAAACTTCGGTTCACCTAGTAGCCTGTACAGAGGGGCTGCAATCTCATTGAAGTTCTTCACGAAGCGACTATAAAACGCTGCTCTACCTAAGAATTGTCTCAATTTCCTCTTTGAATTCGGGGCCGGGATCGTCTTTATCGTCAAGATTTTCTCCGGTAGTGGTTTAATCTCACCATTTCCCACTTTATGTCCTAAAAGAGTTACATTCTTTTTGGCTATCTGAGACTTGGTTTTGTTGACGCACAGTTCAAACTCTTCGATGCGTCGCAGCACGGCTTCCACATGGTTCACATGATCGTTTTCGTTTTGACTATATATGACGAGATCATCACCGTACACCTCAACGTTTTTCAAGTTCTTAAGTAATAGCGTCATCAGTCGTCTGAACGTGAACGGTGCACCTGCTAGTCCAAACGGCATGCGTTTAAATAGATATTGTGTCTGATCCATGATGAATGCCGTTTTATCTCTATCATCTGGCTTTATCGGTATCTGCCAGTATCCTGAGCGAAGATCGAGAACTGAAAACAAATTTGCGCCTTGTAGGCGATCTAAAGTTTCTACTACTGTTGGCATGGCACACGGTCTTAACTCTGTCATACTGTTTAACTGTCGAAAATCAACGCAGAATCTATACTTCCCATTCGCCTTTTGTACTCACAGCACTGGAGAGTTGTACGGGCTATCAGCTTCTTCAATAATATCATCTTTTAACATCTCTCGCACCTGTCGCTCAACTTCGCCTTCTAAATGACATGGAACTCTTCGCGTGGTAAATGACGTTACTTTCGGGCCACTTAACGGAATTTCATGATTCACCTTATCGCAATAACCGTATGGGTCCCCATCTCCAATAAACAGATGATCGTATTTGCTGATCAACTTTGCTATACTTTGGACTTCCGATGCCGCAATCCCTGCGACCTCACTATTCTCGTGCATGCTAAAACACCCGTACTTCGTAACAACAACCCTTTTCTTCATGTTAATCACTGCATCCACTTCTCGCAAAAAGTCGGCCCCAAGGATTGATCGGCGCAATTCAGGTACAACCAGGAATGGGAACGTCACGCATTCCTCTCCAATTCTAACCCTGCAGTCTGAAACTCCCGCGATTCTTAACACGTGACCGCCTACTGTCTGCACTGTCAACGAACACGGTCTTATACTCTCACATAGACTCCTCTCTACGAGTGAGACTGCAGCCCCTGTGTCGATTAAACACACCAACTCCCGATCATTTACCCGTAACTTCGAATATATTGCCCCCTTCTCCATCGCCCCTATTACCTCAAGTCTCGGAACACAGGAAGAAGACACAGTATATCTTTTAAAAATTCTTCTTTGTCGTCTTTCCGGGCAGCGGTCTCCCCAGTGCCCCAGTTTGCCACATGCAAAACACCGGTCTCTCCGCACGCTCAGTCTCAGCGCGGCCACTTCACGTTGCAACTCTTCGATTTGTTTCTCACACTGCTCGGATTTTGGTGGCTCTACCGCTGCAACCGTCTTACTCAACAGTTGTCTGGTCACCTTCGCAAGCTCTCCGATGTCCAGTGGCTGTACGGCGTTAACCAGATGTAGCTGTTAGGATATATGTTCTGGGACACTCTCCATAAACTGGGATGCCAACATTTGTGCCTCAGAATCTTCACCCAGTGTTGGTAGAGCGCGACGAAGTAGGCTTGTCAAGGTCAGCGCCAATACGAGAGGGTCACCGTCAACTCCCAGCTTCATGGTGCAAAACTGCTGCATTGCCCGCTCTCTGTCCATCGGGCTGTCAAACTCCTGCTTCAAGCGTTCCACCACTGACTTCCAAGTTGGTTGCCCCTCTGTTTGCCTCACACTATCATCTGCTGCCTTCGTCCGGCCTCTCAGTAGCGTTCCAAGAACAACCGTCTTTGCTGATGGCTCTTGCACGCCATTCAACTCTGCAATAGCTTCGAAGTCCCTTAAGAAGATCCATATGTCTCCTTCTTCAAAAGCTGCAGGCCATGGGACTTTCATTTCGCGACAGGCAGCGACACCAAATGTAACAACAGAAGGCAAGAGTCAGGCAACAGATCAT